TTTGGTTTGTTTGTTTTGTTGTTGTTTGGTTTTGTTTTTTTTTCTTCCTATGTTTACTGTCTGTGAAAGCGGATGTTCTGGGAGAGGAAGGGGGATAAATGAGTCAGGGTTATACTGGATTATCAAGACTGATCTGCTAGCAGTGTATATCATTTTGAGTCATGTTCCTGTGCCTTTTGGAGATCTTCAGAAATTCATATGTTTCTTCAGAAATATTGGTGGGGTTTTTTTGTGATTTGTTCTGAATTTAGTGCAGTCCTGTCTGTGTCACTTGTCAGTAGTTAATGGCAGAAGTATAATCTGTCAAGGGGCTTTGTGGGCGTATATGATTTTCCTTGTGGTGGTAAAATACAAATGAGAAATAATTTGCAAAGGGCTTCTTTCACAGAATAGAAGCCCAGGGCGCAAAACGTAAATGTTGAACTCTGAGAGCAAAGTTGGGTCTCCACTTCCCTCTATTGTACTTGAATCACAAGTGTCTGTTCTGTCCCTTCGAATTAATAACATGTATTTTGTAGGATCTCTGTGTTATACTGCAACTCAAGCATATGGATCAGAAATCTGTTTTGAATATAACTAATTATGTGAAGTGAGCTTTGTACATATGCTTTGGATTTAGAAGCTTTAATATTTGGGGGGATGGATTTTTAAAAGTTAAATAATTCACCTTATAAAGGCGTCTCATACTTTCTTTTATCTTGGTTCATAAGCAGTTATGATTTGCAGTTTTGCCAGCTACCAGAGCTGTCTTTGTACAATTATTCTAAATAAGAATTATATGGGAATTATCTGTTGTTTAGTAATAGTGTGGTATACTTTGTGTTAGATCTATCTGGATCTATCTAGATCTATCTATTCTTAGCTGCCAAATAGACTTTTTTTTTCTGTGCTAGGGGATTGAGTTATATGAGTTTGGAAAGTTTATATATTGTTTTTTGCAGGAGATTGTTGTTTAACAAAGTATAGCTGTGTGGATGCAGAAAGATTAAACACTTACTATATGCAATGAAGAAGGGAACTCAGCAGTAACCTAATTTTTAGAATGATATAACTGCCAAGATATACAGTCAGACTTCTTTTCTACACTTTTTTTCTAGAAATACATATAGTTGTAAAATAAAAATAATGGCTTTTCATGTGAGTAGCAATATACAAGCATGAAAGTAGAAATGACATACACATACAGTAAGTAAGCAGGTTTATGCATTTTCAAGCTGTTGCATGAGGTATAAGTGAGTATCACTAAAATGACTTTGTCTTCATTATCGTCTGTGAAACCCACTAATTATGAAGGATCAGGTCACAGATATATGCTTTGCTTTGTATATTTAGGTATATGCTGATTCTGCCAGGTGTGTTTGCAGCTCTTGGAGTATTTTGCTCCATTCATCTGCATGGGCAGGCAGTAAATGCAGGACACAGGTGTTCCTCCCACCTCATCAATCAGGCCAGTGGCAGAAAGGAAGTGACACTGTCTGTCTAATTGCCTAGCCAGTTCTGTCTGCTAGACCATATTGCCTTCCAAAAAGTAAAATTAGCTTTCATACAGTGATTACAGACTTGACAAAGCCGAAACTTACCTGTGTTATAGCATGCTGGTCACGCTTCACTTCTCTGTTTAATAGATCTAGGAGGGTAGGACTTTTTCAGACCTTCTACTACTAGTTGCTGATGCTCTGGTTATGGCTGGGATGTTGTAATATTTCCATTATTAAGCCCTGTTTTCAAATTACATATGACCGGGTATTTGAAAAGTCCTTCAGTTATGAAATCTTTGCAGTATTCTCTAGCCTGACCCACCCTGCCCTCCCACACCCCCCCCACCCTCCCGAGTTGAAGAGATTATTGATTCAGAATATAGTCATTTACTGAAAAGTGAACAAACTCACAATTCCTGTGTTCAGGCTTTACTGTCTGTAAGTTAGAAAACTTGCTGATGAGGCATAACTCCAAAAGACTGATTATTTTTGAGATCAAGAAAATGTATCTTTCTTTTGATTAACCTAAAGTTGGTTACTGATTCAATAGAGGTTTGCAAGTTTATACTAAATGACAATTGAATTTTTAATTTTTATATTTTAGGTGTTCTGGGGTTGGTTCAAACCTGGTTGGTTCTTCAGTAAATCTGTCATGTACAAGAATGTCTGGCAAAAAATAATAGATTATGACTGAAAAGCCAGTACTTCAGAAATTAAATTCTACAAGGTGTATGGCATCAGTTTGAGTTGGCAAGAGGAAGTTAGCAGAAGCTAAGCATGGATCATAGGAAAAGCATCAAGTAATAGGTGTTGAGTATGTTGCAAATAGTATGGAAGAGAGCTACACTATGCATTACATAAAACACAATTGATATAGCATCATTTATTGTTAAAATATTCTTAGATCTTACCACAGTAGCTATTATACTGTGGAGAATGATCATCTCCAATTTGATATAGAGAGGCAGTGGTGTTTGATTTCTGAAAGATAAGGTTTTTCTCATCAAAATAAAATGTGCAGTGAAATGCACAGGTAGGGAGAATCACTGGCCCACCTTGATGACATCATCTCTGCACCTTGTATAATTCTTGAAAACTATTTCTGAAATCATGGAGCTTTGTATCTCTGTCTCAGTAAGTTACTGAGATCTGTTATCACTTAAGCATATCTAAGCAAAAATGGTGCAATATGTGTTTTAGAATTCTAAAGAAAGAGATATATAAGTGAAAAGTTAAGACATGATTTATCATGATTATTTGATACCAAAGAAGGACTAGAGATAATAATCGGGTACAGCAAGAATCAAAATTAGGAGGAAACACAGCTACCATATATATAAATGATCAAGAATTTTCCATTTTCTGCTGCAGATAAGGTTCCAGTTGTTTTCAAATTTCAGCTTTCAGATAAAAAGAAGGTATCTTGGTTTGATATTAAAACATTTGTTCTTGTTTATACAAATACAAACAAAAATTAATTTGACTCTGTTTTAACCAACTTGTATAGTGAAACAAAAGTGTGTTGGTGCACTGAGTGGTGCTGTTCAAAGAGGAAAGGAACAGGCTTTGTGATTCAGGTACAGCCATTTGGATGCATGTCTATACTGTGCATTTGCTGTCCAGTTCCTACCAGTTGCCGGTTCAGGTCACATCCTGGGCAGCTATAGCTAATGGGTTCAAACCTCATGAATCCCACAAGCTCACTAGATAAATTTGTACCCGAAAAGGACCCCTGCAGCACAGTGCATTGCTCTAGTGTAGACAGATGTGTGGTGTATCAGGCAAGGGAGAGCCCTGTTCAAACTTGCATCGAATCATGTTGCCATCTGTCCTGAGTACAGAACGCTTCTTGCTTAATCTTGGGTCTAGGGCAAGCTGAGGAAGCCACATTAAAATAGCTGTTGCTTGCTCTCTGCATCAGGCTCGGGTACTGAGGAGTAAAATAATAAAGAACACATGTGTGTAATTAAAGTACAAAGGAAGTAGAAAGGGGAATAGTGAGGAACAAATCCAGAAAATACAGAACAGTTGGGCGTCATAATTATAGACATTTGATTATACTGGAGGAGTTAAAGGACTGTGAAACGATTAGCCCCACGAGGGGAGAGGCAGTGTATTCATCAGAGATTGGTTTGTTTGTTTCAAGTTACTTACGTTTGCAAAGTAACTATCATAGTTTTCCTGGTGGCAAAACCTTTAGTAAAATCTGCAACACAGCTTCCACAGGAATCTCTATTATAATTTGTTCACAAATTTAATTGAAATAAGTACTGTTTCAGTACTAAGTTAAGTGTTCTTTTAGGAAGACCCCAGGAAATCTGTTCGAGATTTTGAACATTCTGAAAGCTGTTTGGTATGCATGTGTAAAAATCTGTCTTAATCTTCATGTAGCTAGGGACTTATGAATAAGTTTTAATTTATTTAAAATACTGTCTATAAGCAGTTATAAATTACATGACTGATAAACATTTTATTATGTTTTTTCATTAAACTGAGGCACTATTAAGTAGTACCTGAGATTGTGAAAGGTGACTAGTCTTGACACAGGACACTTCTAACTCATTAAAGTACTTAATTAAAATACATAAGAATATGAATTCTTCATCAGAAATGGGTCAATCTCCTGCCTGGTCTCTATTTCATATATCAGGTGGGAAAGTACCCTTTTTTTACTACAAGCATCCTCTAAGAAATCTCTCATAAAGATCGCTTCACCCTTCTCTCTCTCTCTTTCTCTACCATCTCCCACAGATTTTTCTATACAAAGGGATTATTTGCATTTAAGGATGCTATGTTCTTTGCACAATACTAAATGGGATTTCTGTGTTAATGACAAAGTAATTTTTGATTAACTGATAAAAGTCTGGAAAGCTTATGGAAGTGAGCTGATAGCACAGAAGCTTTATTTTTGTTTCTAATATGTCACTGAAAACTAAAAGAAAGTTTTAACTAAAGAGAAGGCATTAAAAAAGAGAACAGGAATTAGCTGCAGTAAGGGAAAGCTGGAGAGAATAAAAAAAACCAAAATTGTCATAGGAAAAAAGAGTTAACCTCGTATTGTACTGTGTTTATATTTCTAGAAAACTGGACTGAAATAGGTTTGTCACACATAAAACTATATTTTGAGTTTTTTGGTGTTTTTTTTTTTAATATATATTAGCTGTCTAATTAGTATAAATTATTATAAATTCCTGCTTTGGCAATGATTAAATGAAATAGAATTGCACTAGCTTAATCTTTATGGGGATCAGAAATGTGTCTGGAATGTGTAGTTGAGAACTCAAATCTGTTGCTGAACCAATACTTAGTGATAAATACATCCTCAAATGAATGGAAACACAAACTTCTGATTTGTGTCTGTTTTCAGTTGAAATCTCAGTGTTTTTCTTGTCACACAGTGATTATTACACTAATGTGCAGGATATATGAGATAACGAAGGATTGATTCAATTCATTAAATTTTAAGGATCTGATGATGTTTTGTTTTGTTTTTTTTTCTTTTCTTTCCTGTTATATCTGCAGGAGAAACCTAACAAAGCTGTCCCTCATCTTCAGCCACATGCTAGCAGAAATCAAGGCTATTTTTCCAAATGGCCAATTCCAGGGTGATAACTTTCGTATCACCAAAGCTGATGCTGCAGATTTCTGGAGAAAATTCTTTGGAGATAAGTAAGTATTAACATTTTGCAAAATCCTTAATTCTTTTTAATCATAAGCCTGAAAATAATGATATTTTCAAAAATCTAAATAATGTCTCAAAGTATGTGGGTGGGCATTTTAAAGGTAATTTCTTGTCCAAGTCTTTAAATTGGATGAAATAGGTAAACTCATTAATAACATTTTTTTTTTTTTTTCAACGTTGTAGTTCTCTCAAATGATGAGTAAAAATGTGTGGGTAGTTCTGCCAAGGGCACATACACTTAATCATAAATTAGACTGTATTGCTTGAAGTTTATTGGTTCCATTCTAGGGTGAATATAGTACACTGTTTTTAGAATGTACACAGCAAATCATGTCCTTTCGTATTATGTATATATTCTACAAATGGTAACTCTGAAGTCTGAATTAGGAACTTGATATTGATTTCATGGACAGTATGTTTTCTTATACCATTTTTAACTTTCTGACTAATACAATATTTAGTGTTTTTTGAGCAACTGAAGTAATATTTTTATCTCTTATTATTGAAACTTTTTTTTCTACAACCGTACTGCCTGTAATGTACTCACAGGGGACTAATGTTTTATTATTTTTTAAGTGCTGTTACAGAAAGGGATAGAATAACTGGAAATATGTCAGAAGTTTTAATCAGAAGCAGGTTTTGATGAAACTTACTGTTCAAGAATGGGTCATAAAATGGGTGCTAAGTGTGACTTGTAGATATGTGATTAAATCCTTATAGCAAATGCAATATTGAAAATGTAAAAGTAGGCAGGTGTGGGTGTGAGGGTTTATTTGGGAAACAGTTTTGTTTATGATAAAGAAGGAGGCTAATAGAAGATGCATAGCTTCACTTTCTCATATTGAATGTTTATTAGTGTAACAGTGACATAAGAGGGAGAATGCAAGAGGTTTGTATATTTTACAGTATAATGGAGCAGTCATTATGGTCATCAAGTCTGATATCTTGGACAGTGTAGGCCATAGAAGGTCACAGAACAAATCCTGCAACAATCTGTTACATTTTCTGAGCAAGAGCAGCTCTTTTAAATAAGTATTTCATTCTTTATTTAGAATACCAGTGTAGTAGGTTGACACTTTTGCAAATTAATTTTGTTCAGTGTGATTTTACAGCGGTATCACTTCCTTTTTTTGCTCATCTAAACACACCTACTGCTAGCTTCCTGCTTTCTGGTTTCATTATAGTGTTATCTGGTAACTTCAGTCTTCTAACAAATACCTTTTACATGTAGATAACGTTAGAGTGTGATCAAATTGCTGTATCAGTCTTCTTTTTGTTAGAGGAAAGAAATCTGACCATGTTTTGTGTTACCTATTTTAATGTGAAGATGATATTCAAACTACCTACAAAAGTTGAGATAAAGTTATCTGAAGGATTAATTTATATGACATGTAGGGGTCTCTATCAGCTGAGGTTTTTAAAAAATGTGAGTCAAAAAAAGGAAAGTGGGAGCTTTCAAAAAATGACTAATGATCATATTTGCTCAGTGTTTCTGTTTTATCTTCCTTTCTCCCCTTTGCTTAACAACTTTCAGAATGTAAATCTCCTCATGGTCGTCTTTTCCTGTTCAGTTCTGTCCTTGAATGACCTTGACCAGCTGTCTTGATCACAAATTACATTTCTGCCATTGAGATTTACAGATCTCATCTCCTGCAAGCTGCTGTTTCTTTCTATCATTTCATCTTAACCAGTTTCATCAGCTTCCCCGTTCACTATCATGTTCCTCTTCGTATTTCTCTACTAACTTGTGCTTTCTGTGTGAGATTCAATTGCTTCCCTTCAAGTTTCCTTCCAGTGGTTCTGCCAGTATCCTTTGGGAGATGGCACAGTACAGTGCTACTTGAGTTATCAGGCAGTATCATACTGTAACATATTAATGAGTGTTTATCAGAATGTGGTTGGCAATAAGAATTTTTCAGCTGCATTGCTCCATTTGAATGACTCAGCTCTATCCTTGTCTTCCTCTTGTTCATTCTTGACTCTCATCTTTCCTGATTCAACCCCGGGAGCGCTTCTTTCTAATCCTTTTCGGTGCCCCAGAGCTCTTGCTTTTTATGCTTTGTTTTTTTCCTACTTAAGTAGATTTCTTCATAAAATGAAACTTTAAATATTAGCTCTCAGTACTAACCCTTTGATCTCTTCCCCTCCCCTGTATGTACTTTGATAGGGGGTTATTTGGGGCATTTTTGGGGTTTTGTTTGTCTTGTGTTGTTTTTTTTTTTTTTTTTTTTTCTTTTAGTGTAATTTTTTTTATTTTTTTTTTATAATTCATTTTGGTTAAAGCATCCATGCACCAAAAAAGCCTAGGAATCAAGTCAGTTTTGGGATGTCCTGCTAATTACATATGTAAACTTGATCATCTAGTATAGCCTAGAAGTTTTTTTGAGTTCTGTATTATCAGGTGCTTTACTTACAAACTAGGTAAATAACCACTGTTATGAGTATTCCCAGCTCTTTTCTAATAAACTGAAGCTATTTTAGTTCTCTGTTTTCTAAGCAGTGAACAGTTGATCTGTGCTTGGCAGCCTTGCCATTATTTCAGATTTAGTTAATTGTGCTTAAGTAACTGTAAAACATGTAGCAACATGTATGTCAAGTAAGCAGATGGGGAAAAGATTTATTTGGCATTATGTCTAATCTCTTCATTAAACAAAATACCTGAAGCTTTTAAAACATTATTTTTTATTCGATTTAGAAATATATGGCAGGTGTGCCTGTGAGCCATATCTTTTACAATGGGCCTGTTATGACAAATTAGTTCTCAAATATGCTAGTATCACTTCCCTAGAAGCAGAGCCTACCCAAAGGTTTTGGGTGTTGCAAACAACTGATAAAATCTGTTGCTAACCTGATCACCTAAAGATAGGCCCCTAGGACTATCTGAAACGTCCAGCTCTGGTTAGGTACACAGTGCAATGAAGGAGCTTAGGAAGGAACTATATTTTATGTTTCCTGGCTGCATCTCTATTTTACAGGGCAGGCCTGGGCTCCTCACCGGCTTGCAGAAAGCAGCCATTACTTTGAGGTCACTAAGTAATGCTGCTCAAGATTAGAGTGTTAAAAAAAAAAAGTAAATTGTGCCGGATCTTGTCTTCTGATGGGTAAACTGTAGCACAAGAAAGAATTCTGATGCATTTATTGATCTGATTGGAAGGAGGGAATTGGAACTATTAGATTAATTTATGATTATTTTCAGGATAATATTACCATAAATATAATCTTCCTGTTTCTAAACATAATGAATTGGAAGCTTTCATATTAATCCATTTTCTGCCTTAGTTTCTTTCTGAAATGCTGTATTTTTTTCTTTTTATGTACAATATTTTAAATAACAAGGAGATCAATGCCATTTACGTTTTTGAGTCGACTCTTTGACTTTCAGTTTTTGAAAATGTGACCTACACTTCCATTTACAGGAAGCAGTATATTATAGTTTGCTGAGGAATAAAGTTCAAAAGATATCAAGAGTCTAGTTTGTAGTTAAAAAAAAAACAAAACAAAAAACAAAAAAAAAACCACCAAACTTTATCAGATTTCTTTCACTGCTCTTCCCCAGTGAATGGGGAACTTCTAACTGTGTTGGTTACATTTCACTGCCTGAACACTTACTTTGCTGCAAAACTGATAGCTGTAACTAAGTTCATCCTGTTACTAATAGGTATCATAGGATGCAGTCATTCTTTTTCTGATTAAAGCTAGTCAGGTGTACATTCACATGACTTCAAACTCATTAACAAAATAAATGACTAGGCTAACTGATTCAAGTCTTTGATCACACATCTAGCTGCTCTTTGAATTTCTGTAGAAAACACAGAAGTAGAACTCAGCAAGCAATTTGAATAGCTCCATCAGAGCCATGTACTGGGATAACTTCGTACACTCTTGGCCTTCAGATTCCTCTGCAACTTTTGCATTTTGGTACACCTCTACAAAGCTTCTAGATAATGGCAGTAGCTAGAGAAGCTTGGATGGGAGAGAATGCTGTGGTGCTTGTGAGAGCAACAGATACATCAATAATGGCAGTCACCAGCCCTCACATAGGCAGAGAGTGTAAAAGGAGTAAATAGTCAGAGCCTTTACAATTGTGAGGTTTTCCAGTATCTCATGTTTCAGAGGAGAAGGGAAAGCCTTGGAAGTGGTATGATGTTTGGAAAGGATCTGGAGAGACTAATACGGGGTTTAGGGAATGTACAGGGAGGATTGATAAATCAAGTTGGAAGATAATGAGATTTTGATTATCTGGGTGGAAGGAGAATGTGGACAATAGCAGTAGGATGAAGGAAGAAATAGAGGAATTGATTTCTCTGCAAGGGCAAAGTAAAATGTGTCCAAATTAGGGGGTAGGTGAGGAGGTCAGCAGTGTCAGAAGGCCCAGGATGGTTTTGGTGTATTGACTTTGTCAAGGAAGCTGACAGAGAAGAGCTATCAGGGAGATGAGGGAAGAGAGAATTTTGGATTTGCTTTGTGAAAACAAAGATCAGGAACGAGTGAGAACTTTCCAAAGACTGACTGACTGGAGACGGCTGAGAAATGGAACATATTCACAGGCTATTAGGAGGAAGAGAGCCTCTTAGAGAAAATAAAGGAGATGGTTGAAAAAGAACTAAGGAATAATTGACACCATGGTCAAGGTCGAGATTTTAGGTTAAGATTTATACCAAGAAAGAGCTTGATAATGTCAAAAGCAGGAAAGCAATGAAATTGAGGAGGTGTGGTTTTTGAATTTGTACTGATTACTAGAATGCAATTACTGGAGCAAGTGGTTTTAGTGGAGTGAATCTTCACCCATGGTTTACCATTATAGTTGCACTGAAGCAAATGATGGTTAAATGTACAGCTAAACAGTAATGTTAAATGGAACTGTGAAATTGTAAGGCATGTAATCAGCAGTTACATTTGTTTACAGATACTTTAGTAAGCCCCAGTGAGTTGTAAATATGCATATAAAACGTAATGTGATAGTTTCTTCATTATCAGCATTTTATCA